CTCCTTACCTCCCTCCCTCCTTTCTTCCCTCTCCTTCCCTTCCTCTCCCTCATCCCACAGCCCTGATTGAAATATGCTATCTGTATTTAAATGCTCAAAACACTTTTACTCATAAGAGTTTGCAACTGGAAATAGTCAAGATGTCTTTCTGTGGGTGAAGGACAAACAGTACTATATCTATTCTATATAATCCAAGTCAGCAACAAAAAGGAAAGAATTATTAATACAAGCCATAACTTGAATGAACACCAAGGAAACATTTCCAAGTTTTTGTTTTTTTTTTTTAAAGCCAATTTCAGAATCTTTTCACAGAGTTCTATTTTGATCAATGTCCTCTCCCCTCCAGTCCCTCCACTCTCCTCCTCGCCACTGTCCTTGCCCAACCTCAGGTGCTTTTTTAAAAAAGTCACTCAGTTCACTTGGTGCTGACTGGGTACTCTTGGGCATAAGACCATCTACTGGAGCATGGGAGCTTCTCGGGGGCCAAATCCCTAAATTTAGCTGACTCTCCCATAATGATCAATTGACAACAGTTCCCCAGCTTGGATGGAACTTCCTGCTGCTGCGATTTTGACTGTCTTCACTGTGTATGTGGTCACAGCCACTGTGAGTTCATATGTACAAAGGCCTTATAGTGTCTGGCAAATACCTTTAGCTCTCATAATTCTTCAGCCTCATGTTTTGTTACGACTCCTGAGCCTTTGAGAGAGGGAATATGACAGAGATGTACCACTTAGAGCTGAGCTCCCCACAGACTCTTACTCTCTTCACATTGACCAGTTTGGGATTCTCTGTAGAAGTCACCATCTATTAAAAAAAGCTTATCTGATGAGTGTTGAGAGGTGACACATAGAACTTAGTAAGCAGTACATTACAACATCAGTTTAGCATAATAATAATTGTAGGTTCTCCCCCAGGGCCTATGACCTAGCCAGCCATAGGTTTTTTTGGGCTCTGTTAATGGTACCAGGCATGAATTCTGTCTTGTGTATTGGGTTTAAATCCAGTCAAAATCTTTATTTCTTGTTCCATTTATACAGCAGTCTTCACACAGTGCCATTGTAGGTATAAGCAAAGAGTTGAGGACCAGTACTGCTAGGCTGGAGAAAGATTATGACAGTAAAGAGCAGGAATGTGCCTAATGGAATACCAACAATCCCATATTTTGACTGTGGTAATAAGTATATGAAGCTTCATGTCCTGGGTGGGATTTTTGTCAACTTGACACTAGAGTGTCACCTAGGAAGAGGAAACTTTAGCTGAGGAATTACTCCCATCAGATTGGCCTGAAGCCAAGTCTGCGGACGCATTTTCTTGATTGTTGATTGATATGGGAGGGTTCAGCCCACTGTGGGCACTACTACTCATGGATCAGTGGTCCTGGGTTGTATAAGAAAGCGGGGTGAGCAAGTCATGAGGAGCGAGCTAGTAAAGAACATTCCTCTGTGACCTCTGCTTCACTTACTGTCTCCAGATTTGTGTTCCTGCCCTTAATGATGGACTGTAAACTCCAATCTGAAATATGCCTTTTCTTCTTCAAATTGCTTTAGGGTGTTTATCACAGCCTTAGAAAGCAAACTAGAATGCAGACCTTGTGCTAAAATTGCATAGAACAAGCACTCATACGCAAATGAGTTTTGCACAGCTGGTTAAATCTAAATGCTTCTCTGGGGAGTAGAGGGAGAGGGAAATGGAACCTCTCTATACATCTATTTGTAACTGTCTGTAAACTATTTCAAAATAAAAGGATTTTTTTTTAAAGTCAATGTAATTTTGTGTTATTACTTCATTTAATACTGATAGTTTTAAAAGCCTTTCTTGTTATTGTAATACAGTTAATGAACTTACAGTCTCACAGTGTAACACTAGATTTCCCTGATAATAAGGTTCTAGAGCCCTTGTAATAGTATAATAACCCAATACAATTGTATATTCACTTGCCTAAGTTCAGGGCTACAAAGAACAGAAATAAATCTTAATAAGATAAAGAAATTGATTTGTATGAGATTAGTATTTGCTTTAGCCAGTGCATTTTGTTGATGTTCAGTGCTAAGAATCAGACCCGGACCCTCACACACCTATGTGCAGTATCCCATCACCATGCTGCAGCTCCCCCTCTGAGTATCTTCCTCACTCCTTTGGTTTTTCAAGACAGAGTTTCTCTGTGTACCCCTCCCTGTCCTGGAACTCCCTCTGTAGACAAAACTGGATCCTGCCTCTGCCTCCCAACTGCTGGGAATTGAACTCAGGGCCTCTGGAAGAACAGTCAGTGCTCTTAACCACTGATCTCTTGAGCTTTTAGAAGTCAAGAACAAAATTATGTTAGAGTTCAGTTTTAATATAAACAAACAAACAAACATAAATTTGATGACATTAAGAATAAAATAAGAATATTTTATATTGCTAAAATTTGGCGGTGGGAGTGGGTGTATAATTGTTTAGCCTAGTTTGACATTAAAGCATATTGAGCTAAAAATGCCTACCTCCAAAATGAAACTGAAGCAAACACTTAGTCAGGATGTTCAAATCCTGGCATATTAGGAAGCAATTGAAGCGCTGCTCTACTAGAAGCTTTTCTGTATTTAACGTCTCCTGTTATTTCTAAGGCATGATGGTGGAAACTACAGGGGAATAAAATAGGCAGTTATCTCTGGCCTAGATTAACCTATATCCTAATACTAGGTCATATGCTTATATGTGATCAGCGCAAAGTAAGTGCACAAATCAGTGTACAACATCTAGGATAGATCAGAAAAGGCTTTCGCGATGGGGTGGAAGATAGCTGTGCAGACCAGATACTTGAGGATGGGATTATTCTTTAGATTGTGCTGAAACAGAGAAGTCTCAGTTTGGGTACAGTAAACAGTATTGGTTGACTTGGTAGGGGTCATAATTCTGAACCCCAGATTGGGACAAATAACTGACAGGTGTGCTAATGGCAAAATGTAGGATTGTATGTTAACGCCATGAGCAATTGATAGACGAGCATTTAGCTCCTCATGGCTGAGTTTAATTTCCTGATACCATGCTGGAACTGTAACAGTTCCTGTTAGTTCGGCAAGCTTGCTGTACTTTTCCATGAAGACATGGAAATAGACTGTATTTCACAAATAAACTTTTATTGCAGATTCTGCCTCTTAGTTCAGATAGAAAGTCACATTGACATTAGTTATTTTAGAGACGATAGTGTTCACTAACAGAATCAGCCAGCTAAGCCTAAGCAGAGCTACTTTGGCAAATGATAAATAGGTGGCAGCATGTGTGTCCTACTCGGTGGTGTCATTCTGACTTAAACACGGGCAGGTGTTACAGTATGGGACAGTGTATTCCTCTGTACGCAGCAGCCTCTGTGGCTGTAACAATACCCAGGAAGCATTTTTGCTTGTCTCTCTGTTAAGCTGTGTGTGTGTTTTTTTTAAAGCTTTATATTACTAGTGTGCTGGTCATTACTCTCACAGAAACAGGCTTATAGTCACCCATGTTTACAAGCAGATTAGCTCTTCTCCACGGGTGAAATGCCAAGAATGTAACTATTGGGCCATGGTAGAACATGCATTTGATCCCTGACATTTATTTATTTGGGTTTTTCCTTTGAAAATTGCAAAGGAACTAAAAGAGAAAAATTACTGAGACCTCTTTTCCAGTCCCTAGGCAGTGGTTAATGCCACTTCTTTCCCTCCCAGACATCCTTTGTACCCATCTAAAGAGCACTTTCTTTTCTTCCTTTGGACCACATTCTCCTGCTCTCTCTCACTCATATTCTTGAGTCCCCTTAGCTTGCTCACTCTCTTGCTCCCTCATCTCACTAGGTCACTATGTCCCCTCTGGCCAGACTGGAAACTTGCTATGCAGATCAGGCTGGCCTTGAATTCACAAATATCTGCCTACTTTGCCATCGAAAATGCTGGGATTAAAGGTGTACACCATCAGCCTGGCTGGTGCATGCTTGGTTTGCTCTGCTCCACTCTTTAGGAGATTCTCTCTCCTGTGACCTGCTGTCATCATCTTCTGGCCATCTTGCTTCTGCTCCCAGGTGTGTCCTGTGGGCTTCCACTTCGAGCTTTCCTTGTTGTGTAGATGTTATAACTCCCAAGAGCAATAAACCAAGCCAACATGATGAGCTACTCAGTCACACTGGAGCCCACTACACAATTCAGGAGGCGCTAGCCAAAGGCAGCAGCTTGTAATCTTCCTAGAAAACTGTCCAGAGTTTCAGGTAGGCCACACCTGCATCAATATAATTAGTTGCGGTTGTACAAGTGACGGTATTTTTATTGTGTGCTTGCTACCTTAGTGGTGGCTTATGTTGGCAGTGCTGAAGACACTGGTGAATGGAAAACTTGATCATTTTTCTGATGGATCATGTGCTCCTTGCCTTTTCCAGGAGGTTATATTACATTAGCCCATTGAAATGTAAGTAGAACCATAAAAAGCCATTTAAAAATTAAATGGAAAGAGAGTCACATTGAATTGCTACATTAAATTCTGGTTTCACTCTAGGGGACAGAGTACTATTAAAATCCTTAAAATACATTTGTTAAGTATTAAATACCTTCTACCTACAAGTTTGCTAGTTTTAGGTGTTCCATCCTTCTGGTTCTCTCCACACTTACCACCTAGAATTAGGCCAGTTGCCATGTTAGAAATACTCCCCAACCAGCACATGCTGTCATTTAGATTTGCTTTTTCTGTCATACAATGTTAACAAAACCTAGATCACCCCACAGGTATTATAGTTTTCATATTTACATGAGAATGTAAAAGAAATCTGTTACTATTTAGTGTAATTTAAGGCTTAAAAAAGTACATCGTTCATCAGCCCAGCCCTTCTCCTTGTTTCTTCCCAGACTTGCTAGTGCATGTGAATCTAACTTTTGACTAGGAGCCATATTCTCAGAAATGTCACTTTATTTTCACATATAATTTTCTAAAGGAAAATCAGGTTTTAGAGGAACGTGATTTAATGTCTCCTGTTTATAAACTTTGAATTTTCTTTACAGAGATAGATATGTTAAATAAAAATCTGACAGTGTCCCAGAGAAATAAGGTATGCCTGGAAGAGGAAATGAAAAGTCTCAAATTGTTGTCGGATGCAGCCATATTGAGGTCTCAGCAGATGGAGGCATCCAAACAGCATGAAGTGAACTTGCAAGCCCGGTGCTATGAACTGCAGAAGGAAGCACTAGGTAAGGAGAACCTTCCTGATGTTAGCAACTGGCAGTAACTCAGAAGCATAGGCCTTGTTCCTAATATCCTAACAGTCTTGTGCTAATTAACTTGTCTACCAATATGCATAATAGTAACGGTGATAACTGTTTTCTTGGGTTTGCATTTGCCCTTGCAATCGTGCCATTTAAAGAGGCGGGACTAAGTAGGAATGTGAGAGACCTTTCAAAATACAAGTTAAGATTTCATCAAGACAAAATGGAATTTACTTTGCTGTTTCGTTATCCCTAGGAGATTGTTGGCTTTGGGGTGCCAAAGGAAAACAGCATTTGGTGTGTGTAAGATGAATCCAGATTTTTTTTTCATTTTTAAATGTTTTACTTCTAAAACTTTAACTGTTTATGGAAAAAAATGTCAAGGTTTTCAAAACTTCATGTTGAGTATATAGTTTAATTGGAATATTTTTTATAATTTTCGTTGTGATAAACCACATGACCTTAAATGCACCATTTCAAGCATTTCTAATTATTTAGTTCAGGAATTTTAAAGTATCTTTACATTTTCTGCAGTAGATGTGCGGCACTTTTTCACATTGAAAAGCTGAAAATTGATAGCCACTGAGCTCCTCCCCTTAGGGCTCTTTGCAGCCACCTGTCCACTTTGTCACTGTGAGTTTGACTCTTCTAACATTGTACACAAAAGTGAGACGGTATGGTGTTGTATTTTTGTGAGTCAGGGGATTACTTAGCATGTCATCTGTGTTGTTATAGTGTTAGAATTCCCTCGAGTCCTGATTAAGCAGTGGTCCATAGTGTTTGTAAGCAATCGTAGGTTACACCTCTTACCCACTGCACATGGGGCTGTGGAGAAGATGATATACAAGTATCTCTTTGAGCCTTTCTTCTGGATTCTCTGATAAATACCCAGGCAGGAGGGCTAGGTTACTTGAGCAATACTGTTTCCCTAGTGACCATATCATGTGCTATTCCCACCATAATAGTGCCAGGTTCCGTCTCTGCACCTTTTGCATCATTTAATGTTTTGGGTTGTCATTTGGTATCTTCTATAGGGAATTGTCTTTTGTGTTCTTTGCCCATTTTTAAATATGTAGCTATTTTATATTTTTACTGTTGAATTACAGAAGTTTCTCATAAATTGTACAGCTTATCATGCGTGTGACTTTTCCATGACATAAATTGCCTTCACAAACTTACTTATTGTTTTCTTTGAGACACAGACTTGTTTCTAATTCAACTGGGTTCCCTTTCTGGGTTTTGCGTTTGTTGACCACGTTCTTTATGTCATAATGAAGAAATCATTGCCAAATCCAGTATTCTAAAGCTTTTACTTTCGTTTGCTTTTAAAACATGAACACTGAATTTTAGAGTTTGTGAATAAGTCTAACAAATACATATTTCTACCTGGAAGTATCAAAAATTGTTTTATCAATATAAAGATAAAATCAGTAATTTAGAAAGATTGAACTGTGAAGCAGGGTGCTATGATGGAATGAACACATACTCATAGAAGTGTACATATATAGAGAGATGAGTGTTGGAAGAAAATAAATGAGTCGTATATACATTCAGTATTTAGCAGTGCTGTGAAGTCAGAAAAGATGTAAAATTTAATAAAAAATTATCATTTTCATGTGTGTTTTTGGTATATGTGTGTGTGTGTGTGTGTGTGTGTAGGGGGTCATTTGTATGCCACAGTGTATATTTGGAGGTCAGAGGACAACTTACTGGAGTTGGTTCTGTTCTCCTACTGTGTGGGTCCTGGGGCTCAAACTCAAGTAATCCGGCTTGATAACAAGTACATTTACCCTCTTGCGAGTCCAAATACCTGTGATACATAACACTGGTCAATTATTTTTGTTTTGTCTTTAAGTTACCTATTTAAAGTTGATTTACTGAAGTTTCTCTTGATGACATTTTATTTTGTTGGAGTTGAGGCTGACTTGGAACTCATGCCCTTCTTGCTTCAGCCCTGTGAGTGCTGGGATTCCAGATATGTGTGATATTCCAGTGTCTCTTAATCATTTTGTTTGTCTTTAAGTGCTGGGATTAAAAATGGCTACCACCATTTTTACCCAGCCTCCTTTTAATAATTTTAGAGAGCTCTTTGTATAGTACAGATGTTAATTGTTTTATATAGTCAGCTTTTGTAAAGTATTTTTATTGAATTTTTATGGTATCACCATATCAGAAATTTGTATTTTGGTATAACCAAATGGTGGTCCTTTGTTCTTTATGATTAGTTTTGGATAAAACATTACATACTATGCACAATATTTTGGGATCCCTTCATTTAATATTTTTCTTATGTGATAAGAGATTCAATGATCTACTGTCACTCTTTCCCCACTTTATTGGTATTATACAGTATTAAATTAACATTTTAACCACCTAACATGTTAAAATTTCTCGTGCATTAGTATCTATTACTGCATTTTGTCTTCTCTTGTACTAATTCATCTTATATGCCATTAATGCTGATTTTACTAGAATGCCTTAGTAAACCATTCTTATAAGCAGTAATTCTTTTTCTACTATTCTTTCTTTTAAATATATTTGGTATGTAGTTATTTTTCCATGTAAACCTTTTATGTGTGTGTGTGTGGGGGGGGGAATGCACACGTATGGAGATAACAGGTCAAAATTCAGAGTATTCCTCAGTTGATTACCATCTTAGTTTTTAATTTTTAATTATTTTTTATAGTTACTTATTTTAATTTATGTGTATGAATGTTTTGCATGCATGTGTGTATTGAATTTTAGTATTCTCATACTAATTTTAGTCATTTTGTCAATAACTCTTGGGTTTTCTACTATGTGATTGTGCTACCAGCTGTAACAGTCTCAAAGTCATACTTGGTGCAGTCCAAGATCAGAGGAAGGCATTAGATCTTCTACAAATGGAGTTACAGATAGTTGTGAACTATGTAGGTTCTTGGCATCAAATTCTGGTCATCAGGAAGAACAGCCAATGCTCTTAACTCCTAAGGCATCCCTTCACTCTCCACCCCTTATCCTTTCGATACTGGGTCTGTCACTAAACCTGGAGGTTGCCACTTGTCTTGACTGCCTAGTTAGCATCCCTCTGGGATCCTCTTGCATATGCTGTCCAGCACTGGCTTACATACAGGAGAGCCACACTGCCATATCCAGCCTTTTAATGTTAGTTCTGGGAATCTGAACTTGGGCCTTCATGCTTGCAAGGCACATACTTCACTGAGTGATCCATCTCTTCATCCCTTGTCTCTTTAAACTTTAAGAGAAGTTTATTAGCTATTTCCAAAGCCTCTGACAAATCTTTAGTAAATTTTTTTCTAAAAACTTTACACAAAACTTTATTTTCCACATCATAGAGAGTTATTCCACATATACTTAGGACAATTTTCATTACTTTATAATCTCAGTATGGATTCTAATTAGAATTGTATTATATATATAATTTTTTTTAATTTTAGTATTCTCATACTAATTCCAGTTATTTTTACCAACAACTCTTGGGTTTTCTACTTATGTGATTGTACTACCAGCTGCACAATCTCAAAGTTTTAGCAGTTGTAACATTGCTCAAAAGTCTAAGTTCAGCGTCCCTTGTAAGATGGCCTGTAGCCTGGAATTGTGAACCGAATAGACCCTTTATTCTTTTTTTTTTTTTTTGGTTTTTCGAGGCAGGGTTTCTCTGTGTAACCCTGGCTGTGCTGGAACTCACTCTGTAGACCAGGCTGGCCTCGAACTCAGAAATCTGCCTGCCTCTGTCTCCCAAGTGCTGGGATTACAGGCGTGCGCCACCACTGCCCAGCTCAGACCCTTTATTCTAAAGAAGAAACTTAAAAGTTGTTTTTGTCATGGAATTTAATCAGTGCTACAGGAAACAAAACTAATACAACCTTGATGGCTGACTTGGAAAAACACTTTCTCAGGCAGTGTTTTGGAGCAGGAGTCCCAGTTCTGTCCCTTTCCTTTGGAATGAATTTCCCTCCTCCATGTCGATGGCCTTGGTTGGTAGGGTCTTTCTGTTGAAACACTGCCCCACTGTTCTAGTACAGAGTTTCTCTTAAACAATGACATCTGCCTTGTCTCCAGCTTTAAACTTGACAACTCTTACTTTCTCACCAAGCTGCACATTTTTTTTTTCGTGTTTTTCTTTACCTTTCTCTAGATCTAAGAGCAGTAAAGAGTTACAATGGTACAGCCCAGATGTGTCGTATGATGCTGTCCCTTGGGAGTAATGAATAAACACTACTCACCCTCAATAGGGAATATTCTGATGGCAGACCAAAGTCACAATCCAGCTTGGTAAACCAGTTACTTTATTGGGCCTAAATATAGGAGTGTGGGTGAGAGGTTATTTCCAGGAGCACAGGCAACTCAAGGGCAGCTGCCTCAACAAAAGTCTTTTCTGGTGTAGCTTCTGACTGAGAAAAGCTAGAGCCCAGGAGCTCACTAACTGATTTGCAGGTAGCATGACAGGCCAAAGGCTCTCCTTTCCTCCGTTTCCCCACATCAACCTGGGGCAACCACATGCACACTCACATGCATGCATACAGACACATACATACACACCCACATACATACAACACGTTTGCACAGTGTACACATACTAAAAATGGAAAAAATGAGAAAAATATATCCTATAACTTATACCAAAAAGTTAAAAGTATCATCATTTAAAAGGAGAAGCACCATCTTCTCAGACAGGCCAGGCCAAAAGATATTGTAAACAAATTCTACCAAACTTTCAAACAGAAGAGTCTAACTTTTCAAAAACATTCCCATGCTAGGGTCTGAATGTAGGGCCTTGTGCTTAGTAAGTAAGTACTGAGCTAAGTCTCCAACTCCTACAAATATTTTTAAAAGAAACAAAAATTGAGTTCATTTCTCAGTTCATTCTACAAGGCTAAAATCACTCTGTTCGCAAAACCCAAAAAAAGGGATTAGAAGAAAGAAATGCAATAAGCTTCTTTAGATTATGAATATTGATGAGACAGTTTTCATAAAATTAAAAT